TAACTAGTTACTCTGTAGCTCTCATTACTTTCTTTTTTTCATTGGACACAAGACATGAACCATGTGGGGAACACTGAGTTGTTTTTAAAGTACTTTTATTGGTATCCAGAAAAACTGTTTGGAGTTGCACCTTCCAGCCTCTTTTCCAGTTTATCAATTCCAACTCCCAGTGTCTATGGTTCCAGGTATATTGTACAGATTTTTTTCCTCCCTTCTTTCTAGAGAGCATACTAATCATTGCATCAGGTGGAAAGTATTTTCCAAAACAACTATTACAACTGAAGGCAGAAAAAAGTCAAAAGTTACTCTAACTGTAACATCAGAAGCCTTGCTTGTTGCAGAAACAGCATGACATTTCTATCAAGAGGCAGTACTCTTGCTAAACTTTTCCTTTTTTGAAAGAAGAGAGAGCATTATTCTGGCTAGATCCTGTCCAGGTCAAGCCCTTTTGCATTATGCGTGAAAAAAATCCACTCCAAAAGCAAGAGGCAGTTTGAGATGAGCTGAAAACCTGATTCTGTTCATAATAAAAATTGAATCCCTCAATTATTAACAAACAGAAGATTTATAATGCCTCTGTGCATCACTGAAATTCTAGGTACATTGAGGTTTGCTTAACTTGAGAATGAAAGGGCAAAAACTTAGCTTGCTATTGCAAAGAGAGGCTCAGTGTGATGCTGCGACATCAGGTTTTCTGTTTATCCCTAAGGCTGGTGCAGTGATGACTTCAAAGTTTGATGGTGGCTTTTTTTTCCCCCTTCTTTCTTTCTTTCTATTTTTTCTCCCTCCAAAGATGTTCAGCAGCAGGCTAATGGATCCCCAGCAGGGTGCAAAGACAGCAGAAAGCACGGGAATCAGATGTCAATGTACTCTTCCCAGATACCCTGCTAGGACAGAGCTAACTAACCAGGGCTTTAGCCTCCTCTTGGGGAACACGCTTTGATGGTTCCCTGCCCACTCTTGGCTTCCTATATGCTTCCTGATTAAAATGCTGTCACAGATAAATCATGACATCTGTCTGTTAGGATCATTTTTTATTTTTTTAAAAGAAAAGTTGGGAACCATAAGATTAAGTAGATAATGAGCTGGCCCGATGGCATAGTGGCTGGGTTAAGTGCAATGCGTTTCAGCAGCCTGGGTTGGTACGTTTGATCCCAGGCATGGACCTACACTACTCATCAAGCCATGCTGTGGCAGTGTCCCACATACAAAGTAGAGGAGGATGGGCAGGGATGATAGCTCAGGGCCACTCTTCCTCAAGCAAAAAGAGGAAGATTGGCAACAGGTATTAGCTTAGGAGCAATCTTCCTTACCAAAAATAAATAAATAAAAAAGATGAGCAAGTTCTGCAGAATTATATACTCAAACATATAAATGTGTATAAACATGTCATATATCTCTATTATATAACTGTCCATGGATCTGGGACTGTTTTCTGCATGTGCCTTCCCTACCCATCGATTCACTTATACATTTTTATATATGTTCTGTTAGTCACTTTCAGTCAATCACTAGATTACTTGGGTAACTTCCTAATGAATAGACTTTTGGGGAGGAGAAGAGTTTCTCATTGTTTGCCCTCAATGTAGGCATAAATTGATGGGAAACTGAAGTTGTCCCAGAGATGAGTTTCAATTTCAAATGAAGGGGACATCCAAAACGTACTGGTGTACTTTTGTGGGTTCCCGCCTAGGCACACAAATAAGTAGTCCTTCTGGCACCTGAGAGTAGTGATTATCTTTACCCTTTGCTTGGAGGAGAGGCAAAATCCCGCAAACTGGAGCACAAGCAGGAAGTGCTTGGTCTATTTTGATATTTGACAAGCACAACCCTTTCAAAACCATGAAGTAAAGCTGATTTACCCAGTGAAAGTCAATAAGCTGCACTAGAACTACATTTGCATCTGCTGCCTAGCTGCATCTCCGCCTCCCCTAGCAAACTGCCCGTTCCGGCCCACTGCTGTTCCCGGCAGCCTCCGGCCGTGGAGGGCCCTTGGTTAGTTTCCACACTGTCTAGATTCCATCGCTCCACACTGCTCCACTGCAAGGGGGTTCCAGTTCTCTATGTGAGTACCCTCAGGCTCTGCGTGAGGTATCTTGCCACCCAAACCTGCTCCACGTTGGAGACAGGGCCCTTGGCCATTAAAAGGGATATTCTTTGTATTATATTGCTATTCTGCCTCCCTTTGCCCTATGATCAGACTGACTTAGCAAGGCCACACTGGATTCTTATGCTCTATCGTCAGACCACGTCATTTCAGACCAACCACATTTGTGAGTCCTGCCACCTGCATAACTTCCCATTTGCCTTCTAGTCTCTCAGACTCTTTGTGACTGCACTTTCATGTTCAAAACCTCGAACTGGCCTTTCAGCAACAACTCAAGTTCCCGCAGACATTCTGCCCCAGTGACTAGTGTCATATCAGCGACTTTCCTTGCTTGGTGAGTCATTTCCTCAAAATTTTGTCTTCACACTAATGGTGATTCCTGCCCACTGACTGATTCCATTTCAGTTCTGGAGCACCAACAGTTAGTGTGACATTATCCAGTTAAATAAAGAAGAAGAAAAAAAAAACGCGACTGCATGAGATGGAACAAAATAGGGAGCCTCAGAGAAGATACTTAAAATCATTCTACAGAGTTTCAGTTTGAGGGCTCTTTGAAATTGTAGTTTCAGAACCTCGTAAAGAATTTACAAATGAAATCCATGAAACAGATATTTGTAAAGAATTAGTGATGATAAGGAATTCAAAAAAGAGCATGATTTTCATGCTTTGTTAACTGAGAAGATACAGCAGCAGGTAAGAATGTGAACTTTTATACACAGCTCCTCCCACATTCCTCTTTAGTGTGCCATGACTCTCCCCAGTTAGTTTAATACGAAAAGATTGTGGAAGAAATACCCAGCAGCAGTGGAGTAGGGCAGTAGAAAGGTCACTACAGCAAACCCAGGCCCCGGATGAGCAGGACACAGCTCTTAATTTGGTGGGAGCACCAAGTAACGTTTCTATATGTTAATTTCCTGTGGATGAAAACAGCAGGTGTATCTAATCTTACAAATAAGTAGTAACATAAAACAGATGTGAAAAATCCAGAATGATACCTATTGTGATATGGTAATATTACTCCCTAATTTACAGTTTAAATTCAAGTAACTTCCTTTTTAACCTGAAGATTTCAAAGTATTCACTAGGAAGTATAAGATAAGCCCAAATGATTGTGAATCAGTAATGAAACAATTAAATTAACATGGAAAAGCACATGAGAGTCCTTCCCAGCATTTAATATAACTAATTACACAGGAAGGGTGTGTTGACTTTGGGTTCCTTCCAAAGCAGCTTTGCAAACCAGTATCAAAAATTTATCAGTCCTACAAATTCATGTCTTCATCCTCCTAAGCTCTACCCACAGTAAAAGGAATTTATTAATTGCAAGAATAATTTATTCATCCCATTTATTGCCTGTGTGCACAGGAAATCTAATAACATTAAAAATAATTCAACATGTGTTGTCAAGGTCAATTTAGCAAGCAAGAAATACCTGACCCAACAGCTGTGGGCTTTACTCATGGGGGCCCAGCTTGTTCAGAGAGACCAGAGGAGCGAGGATGGGAGAACAGAGGAAGAAAAGAGAGTTGCAGATTCTCATATAATAAAGGGAACATCATTCTCAATATTTTTCATCCCATCTTTCATTATTAAGTAAAAGAACGTTACAGTCCATTTATAACTAAAATACTCTACTTTAGATTATTTTAAACTTTGTCTAATTTTATGCTATCATGTATTTATTGGATAACATAAAACAAAAAAATGAATTTACTTTTGTTATTTATAATCATTAAAAAAATTACATTTCCATCTTCAAGACAGTATTCTAGGGTTGTGTTGTTTTGTGTTTTACTTTTTTTAGGGTAATGTGACAGGGCCCAGCAGTTCCTAAAAGTGCTGAGAACGACGTGGTAGATAAACCTGAAACTTGATGGTTGTGAGGTCCTTAAAAAACAATACTGTGTTTTTAATGGAATTACACAGAGTGAGAAACTACAGCGGTTTGGCTTTCCCTGCATGTGTTCCTCACTTTGAAGTTAGAAAAGAAGCTCAGTCTGATTGAGCTAGGTGGGGGGTAAAGAACTCACCAGGTTTTACTCATGAAAGCAAACGCTTACAAGTAGAACTAAAAGCCAATGTATGCTAAACTGTTAGTGTTAACTGACGCCAGCCCTAATCCGTACTCAAAAAGTGGAGCTTGAACATTCAAAGCCAATGACACTTGTCTCCTTGCCAGGAGCAGGTCCCAAATACCAGGCAGCAGAGCTAGAAACCATCAGTGCATCTCGCTCAGAATTCAGTGGTCGGCATCTGTCACATGCATCTCAGAAAGAGGTAGAGTTTTAAGATGGAAGGTTCTTCACAAAACTCCATGGCCAAGACCATGCGGTCAGAGCAGAAAACAGTGTTTCGTGGAACCTTGTATTTCTCACTATATTAATAAAAGTAAAATAAAAATTGTAAGAAATGAAAAAGATTTCCATGGCCAAATGTTTGAGAAATTCAGAGTTAATCAAGGTTAAACATGTTTCTCTCCTGAAGGACTTCTCGGAGCCTTCAGTATTTAAGGTACATGGGAAGTCCCCTAATTATTGGCCCTGAGAGCTTTTTTTGAAGACATAGCTATTAGGCTATGGCTGGATACTCGTGTTCCATGGGACACAGTATAGGAAATACTGAGATAAAATATTATTATCCCTGATTTATAGGTGAGGGAGTTGGGAATCCATGGAGATTATATCCTAGAAAGCAAACTCAGGTTCCAGCCTCCTAATACCAACTCTTCCCAGGGGATGGTCAGAAATCTGAGACGAGATAAACCGCAATTGGTGTTCTCAGCAACATACATACCCTGGGATGGTCTCCTAAAATGAATGCTTCCAAAAGTTCGGTACAGACATTCTTCTTTCCTGACCGTGAGGATACACAGACCCTCCCAAATCATGATTACCTGATACAAAGGCATGCAGATGCTATCAATCCACTCCAATTGCAACCGAGGGAGTTCGTCTTTCCGGTTCCGATCAAAAATAGCCTAGAATTGGGGAGGAGACCCCTGCGTTATTACACTGGAGTATTTTACAGGTGCTTTGTCAAACACTTTGCCACAATCATCCAATTTTTACAAAGTGAACACTTCACAAATCACAATCAATCTTTACCCGTACTTTGTTTTCCTTTATTTGTGATGAGAAATAAAATATTTTCACCTCTTTTTACGAGATTTGTAAGTGAATTTATTTGAACTTTATAGCATGCAATTCCTTGGGGCCAAAATCTGTCTTCAGATATAGGTAACTGCCACTAAATCAAGTCATCAGGTCACTGAGAATTGGGTACAAGTCAAGGGGAAGGGGATATGTTTTACTGCCACAAAAATAATTCAGGCTTTTGTTTTTATAGTGAAAGAGGGTGGGATAGCTTGGAAAAGATCCTAAAAAGCAATTTCATTTTAAATAGAAACTATTTGTGTTAATTTTTCAGGGTGGGGTGTTGGTTTGACAATTCTGTGTGGTTTTCAATCAAGTTCTGTCATTAATAAATCCATAAATTTTCATTTAGCATTGGGTGGATGATAGTGGGAGGTATCCATTCTCTCCTCATTCCTAGCCTTTAAACTTTATGATATTATAAAGTTTAGAAAATTTGGGTATATTTTGGAGAAAAAGAAGTGACATATTTCTGTTGGGCAGACATAGAAAGGGAAACAATCAATTGGAATTGGAGGGTTAAAATGGATTCCTTGAACAAACACTGCCAGTTCCACTCCAGTGAGAATGTCCCTCTCTTTGTTCTTAAGGAGTAAGGCCAGAGGCTAACAAGCGACCTTGCCCTGCCTTGCCCTATTGTCTCACAGTAGGTTTGGTCTTTCCTCTAGATAAAATGTGGCATCCAAATCATTTTGGCAATCACATACGTCATGAGGGCAGATCCAGGCTGTCCCTTTGGTCCAGAGACGCTGAAAAATCTTACATCCTGCAGACTCGTGAACGAGGGTGGGAGTGAGTGGGGCCGAAATCACTAGCTTACAAGGTTACGAGGAAGGATGCTGCTGAGGGAAATACCTCCAAGTTAGAGAGAAGGTCACTGACTCCCACAGGCTCTGCTCTTCCTTGTCTTGCAATATGAAATGTTAAATATCAGGAAAGAGGACTAGAATTTAGAGGAGTGTTAAATGTGCTGGAGAAAGGGATGGTTCATGTGACTGCATGAGTCTTGGTCCAAAAGGTTCCTTTAAAAATATTATTCTGATTTATCTTCTCTATATCTCTCTTTGCTATCTGAAATTTTCTTATTTTTTAATTTCTCTGTTTCTGGTATATTATATAGACTTAATTCTTTATTTTAATTCAGTAGTTTTTAGCATATTCACATTTAGTTGTGCAACCATTACCACAGTTAATTTTGGAAGATTTTTATCACCCCAAGAAGAAATCACATACAAATTAGCAGTTGCTCTTCATTCTCCCCCAAACCCTCAGCCTAATCTACTTTCTGTCTCTACAGATTTGCCTATTTTGCACATTTCATATAAATGGAATCATATGATATGTGGTCTTTTGTGACTGGCTTCTTTCACTTAGCATAATATTTTCAAGGTTTACCCCTGTAGCACGCATCAGCACTTGATTCATTTTTTTTTTTAAAGATTGGCACATGAGCTAACATCTGTTGACAATCTTCTTTATTCTTTTCCTTCTTCTTCTCCCCAAAGCCCCCCAGTACATAGTTGTATATTCTAGTTGTAGGTCGCTCTGGTTGTGCTATGTGGGATGCTGCCTCAGCACGGCTTGATGAGTGGTGCTGGTCCACACCCAGGATCCGAACTGGCCAAACCCTGGGCCACTGAAGCAGAGTGTGCGAACTTAACCACTGGGCAACAGGGCTGGCCCCTTCATTCATTTTTATGGTCAAATGATATTCCATTGTGTAGATATACCATATTTTATTTATCTATTCATCAGTTGATGGACATTTGGGTTGCTTCCACTTTTTGGCTATTATGAATAATGCTACTATGAACATTCATGTACAAGTTTTTGTGTGGATGCATGTTTTCATTTCTCTTGGGGATATATCTAGAGGAAGAATTGCTGGGCCATATAGTAACTCTAATGTTCAACGTTTTTGAGGAATTGCCAGACTGTTTTCCAAAGCAGCTGCATCATTTTACATTCCCACTAGCAATGCATGAAGTTCCAATTTCACCACATCCTTGCCAACTCTTGCAATTGTCTGTCTTTTTGGTTATAGCCATCTTAGTGGTTGTGAAGTAGTATCTCACTGTGGTTTTGATTTGTATTTCTCCAATGACTAATGATTTTGAGCATCTTTTCGTGTGCTTATTGGCCATTTATATATATTCTATGGAGAAATGTTTATTCAGATCCTTTTCCCATTTTTAAAATTAGGTTATTTGTCTTTCCATTGTTGAGTTGTAATAGTTCTTTATATATTCTAGATATTAGGCCCATATCAGAAATATGATTTACAAATAATCTCTCCCAATATGTAGGTTGTCTTTTCTCTTTCTTGATAGTGTCTTTTGACACACACAGTTTTTAATTTTGATGAAGTCCAATTTACCTATCTTATCTTTTGTCTACTATGCTTTTGGTATATACCAAAACACCATTGCCGAATCCAGTCCAAAAGATTTATACCTTATTTTCTTCCAAGAGTTTTATAGTTTTAGCTCCAACATTTAGGTCTATGATCCATTTTGAGTTAATCTTGGGGTATGGTGAGAGATAGGGGTCCAACTTCATTTGCTGGTTGTCCCTGCACCATTTGGTGAAAGACTATTTTCCCCCATTGCGTGGTCTTGTCATGCTTGTGGAAAATCACTTGACCATAACTGTAAGGGTTCATTACTGAACTAGTCACTTTTCAGTAAGTGTTTGATGAATGGAAGTGTGAGCCAGCAAAGTGTCCTGCACTTTCCCTTTACAGCATTTTGTATCTTGTAATTGATTATTAGTGATTGTTTATTTAATGTCTATGTCTCCTACCAGTTGACAAGCTTCTTGAGGGCAGGGAAGATGGTACCTTGCTCATGGCTGGATGCACAGTGCCCAGCTTCATGCTTGATACCCAGAGCTGTTCAAGCATGTTCCATTTACTGACTCACTGCTTCCAGTATGAACCCTTTGGCTGTGGTCTAGATTAGCCTTTGTCTTCACGAAGTGACTCTGATGACCCCTAGGACCATGACACCTGAAGAGGGCTCCTGGACAATTTTGTTACTAAATATCAAGGAATAATGGGCACAGCAGGTGTCAGCTCTGGGTGCATGCATTTCAGACACCTTAGGAAAAGGGCTAATGAGGAATACCCCTGCCACAGCAGCCAGGCCTCTCCTGAAGAGATAGTCATCAGCTGTGTTAAGTAGCCTTTTGGGAGGACAGCGTAGCATCTAGAGATATATTTCCATCACAAAATTAATTTCATGTATGTCTTCAGAAAATGCCTTACCTGAGCCTGCAGACAAAGGCTCCTTAGTGCTGTGCTACCACATCTGCCAGCTCGCCAGTGCTGGCAATTGACTCACATTTTTTTCATTTAATTAAATGACCTGTGGTATCGCTGCCTTGTAAACCCTTCTGAGGATGCTTCTGAAACAGTGTTGTTATTTTTTAAAAAATTCTTTAGGAGTGCTTATTTTATTTTATCTTATTTTTATTTTATTTTTTGGTGAGGAAGATTGTCCCTGAGCTAACATCTGTTGCCAATCTTCTTCTTTTTGCTTGAGGAAGATTGTTGCTGAGCCAACGTCTGCGCCAATCCTCCTCCACCTTGTACGTGGGATGTCGCCATAGCATGGCTTGATGAGTGGTATGGAGGTCCATGCCTGGATCCGAACCTGCAAACCCTGGGCTGCCAAAGTGGAGCGCACAAACTTAACCACTATGCCACCGGGTCAGCCTGTGAAACAATTTTTTAAAGAAGGGAAAAGCTTTTATTTGAAAATAGATATATGGGTGAGATAAATTTGGGTTGTACTAGGTTTTCCACATTAACTATGTATGCCAATCTAGTATTCTTATTTTTATAACCAAATTCGGTGAAACCACTGAAAAAGAATAAAGGGATGTTTTGAAAACAGTATAATAGATGTTGCTTTGGAAACTAAAATAACTGGCGAGTGTTTCAACCTATGTAGTCTTCTGACCTTTTAAGGTTTAAGTTTTTGTAAGCAACAAATTAAGAATAGTCAAAATTAGTAAGACTAAGACTAATAGGTGAAACCATTTAAGCTACGAGCTAGTTCAGCTGCTTCTCCTTGCTTTTAAATGTCAGCAAAGAAAAATGTCTTAAAACTAGAAGAACTTATAAAGACACCCTCAAATGTTCAAAACTCAGTTGTTTTGAATCTTCATAAACACACATTCCTGACAATTGACACATTCCTTGAGCTTTATTGAATTTACTGTGCTGTGCTAGGCTTTAAAATTTTGTGCACTGTTCTCAGAGAGCGGGTTTTTAGCTAAGCATTCATTAAGAATAAAGAGGCTGCCCCTTCCTTGAGGGTGGTGACTGAGGCATTTATGTCTTCTGTATCCTGATGAGTAAAAATAGCATCATCCTGAGCCTACAGTAAGCATTATCAAATAATAATTGAATGGATGAATCCAATATAAAAAACATTTCAATCAGCACAACCTAGTTCCCTAGGTGAAACTTTTCATTTTGCAAACAAAGAAAAGAAACAGAGACTTGAAATGATTTGCTTTTGAGACTTTGGAAAGTTTGGAATTGGAAAATAAAATCCAGAATATCCATTATTTACTGCAGCTATCTGTTCTAGCTCCTCAAGGCTGGACAGCTTGCCTTTTTTCTCCGTATTTCTATTCCAAAGCAGCCATTGACCACATATGAAATGCCAGTCCTGGGCTTTGAGCTATTCAAATGCCACTCTGCACATCTTCCTTTGTGCCTACTTATCCCCCCGTGGGTGCTTGGGAAATGCTCATTAAGTAGCTCACCACTCTTAATCAGAAACCTGGGAAAAAGAATGTTTAGTATCTAAGTTTAACTAAAGTTTTAAACTTTTGGGGGTGCTCCCTTAAATCTATGCTTAGTCTTTCTCACTTTCAAGTTGTAATTTGTGGCTATTTTTGAAAATGTCATTTAAAAGGGTAAATACATCACAATAAAAGAATGAACTTACTGAAGGAGTGAGTTTGAGTTCTGATCTCTCTCGATCTCCTTGTTCAAAGAACTCACTGGTTACAAGTTCAGCCACCTGAAACATAAATATTTTAACTTATGGTTAAGTGTAACTCATCATGAGACTCAGAAGTTATTTCTGGCTTACGTGTATGGTGATTATCTTCAACACAGACAATCATTTAAAAAGCTTATGAGAAAGTACATTAACCTTTTGTGTTTGAAGGTATTACAGAATTTAATCAATGAAACTTCCTTTTATTCAGGGGAACTTGTGCAACATCTTTTTATATGCATGCCAATAGATGATCTCCAACAGCACAGCTGGCGTATTCGGGATGGGGCACTAGATTGCCACCTTCAAGTAGGAAATGTTCTTAGACAGAAAAATGAAGCATACAATAACCTAATAATAATTTACATTCTTATAATATATTATTATCACATTTGTTATAATAATTCAGCCAACTTTTGGTTGTTTCTATGTAGATTCTTTACTTTATTGCATACTTTCATCTTAGCTTGGTTTCACCTTGCCATCACAAAAACTCCTTAACAGCCTCGCCCTGTCAATATTTGTGTGTACTCTGGAAGGGATAACCCCGGGGCACACCCTCTGCTTCCTACTGGAGCAGTCAACCAAGGAACAGAACTAATGCTAGATTCACTGTTTATACCGGACTCTTACAGTATGTCATGATACAGTTTGAAGAACAAGATTTGGTCTTCAGGCTGACTGAATCTATGTACAAAAAGTGTTAATTATGGTAGGTTCTAGTTGGTACAAGCACAATGGAAGGGCTGTTTACCCCAAACCATAGATATTTTTTCCAAAGAACCTGTATTTTCCCACTTTTTATCCATCAGCACAGTGATCAGAAGCTACTGATCATAGTCAAGCTACAGATATGTTTTCTTCTCCAAGGCCTGTACTTCTAAGGATAGCTTTATGGGAAGCAAATTGATGTAAGTGTTGAGCAGGTATTTTCAACAATGCTGTGGTGATAATCTAGGAAATCTCTGAGACAAACTAGCTGGATTTACAAAATATTGGAAGAGAATAAAATAATCCCAGATAACTTGATGGCAAGAAGATCTGGATCCCCAGACTAATTATTCTCTACTCCAGGTTCCTATAAAGATGAGGTTCTTATGTCTGGCAAAGACTAGAATGGTTTACCTTTGGTCAAGTGCATAGAATCAAGATGATTTACCTAAGTGTATCGCTCAAGAGATTTTGTCAACCATAAATGGGAACCACTGATAAAACTTAAAAACAACATCAAACCCACACATACAGACAAATCTGAGAGCAGCAAGTATGCAGTCATTTATAAAGAAATGAATATCTAGTCCGTTGACTTTTAAAAAATTCAACAGCATAACACTAGTTGGAACTGACTTAATTTTTCTAGGACTTGATTCACTTCTCTCCTCTCCAGCCTCTGCCACTAACTTTTCTCTTTAGGACTCTAGGCCTCTCTCATCTCTCTCTGGCCTTCCTTTAAAGAACAGATGGTCCCTAAAGGGCCTGGCCTCATTTATTCAATTCCCAGAACTCTCCCTCAGGTTGCTCTGAGGTGGGTCTTTTGCAATAAAGAATGCAGATGTGCACATCAGGTCACCCCAAGGTGGGAGCCCTGCATAGGTCTGTAGCCCCTGGAAAGCAAATAAATTAAAACAGAATCCTGTCCTTGATCTTCTAAGGTGGCCCTGGGTACCTCCCCTGAGCTTCTTTCACAGCTCAGCTTGTACCACTATGTCGTTTGTACTTAAAAACCCAGTCAGGAACATGAAGGGCTCATGATTGAATTTTTTATTAAACAAAGAAATTGAGATGCTAATCAGGACTTGGAGGATCACTGGGGAAACCCACATGCTCAGAGTCATGTTTGTGAGGAAGGAAACATCGACTAGACATCAGTAAAAAAAAAAAAGAAAAACCTTTGAGAGAATTTAAAAAATCAAAATCCAGGAAACTAGAGAAACGTTTGTATTTTTAAAAGAAGGCCTACTGTTTTTGTCCAACTGTTTCCTAAAATCATAGAAGTGAGTATGTTTTTGAAAATATGTAACCTACTCAATTTAGAGACAAACACAAATGAGATCTGCAGTTTAGAGTTGTGACAAGGTTTCTGGTGGAAACATTTGGGAAAAAACATGGTTTTGTGTTTTAGTTCCCTGAACTCTTGAGTTTCTGCACTATCAGCAGAAGTTCAAATCCTAAAAATAAAATAATATTTATATCTGTAAGCAAGAAGACCACCTACAAGTGGCCATTGGGTCCCTTAGGTCCGAAATATCAATTTAGAAACTTATTCTCCTTCCAAGTAGTTGGTCCTGTCATTTTCCCGCCCCCGCCCCCAAGTGGCCTGCTGCTCCTTTAGGTCTCGACACACATTTCACTGGGGCCCATCACACCTCATCCCACTCCCTTTCTAATCTTTGCTATTCTTCTCCCCGCCCCCAGCTTTCTCCCATTCTCCATCCCTCCACCCACTTCCATCCCTATCATAGGGGCCACCCCAGGACTACAATTTTTCCCATGCCTGGAAGAGCCACTGACCTCTTCTCTGCATTTTTTTCTCAGACTTTACTGGAAGGAAGGTCTTCCCACATGGGGGAAGTGAAGGGAGGGCAGAGATGTAGAAATAATCTACTTGGTCACACAAATTCTTCACAATTGCCCTGCTTTATGTAATTTCAAACATGCCACACCAAAAGGAAAACCAAAGCTCAATTAGAAAGAGCTGTTCATTGGAGGAGAGCTCTGCAGGAAAACCACACCATCTGCACCAGAGTGTGATGCGAGCAAGACATAAATTTTTATTTGTGTTAAGCAACTGAAATTTGAGAATATATTTGTTACGGCAGCAAAACCTAGCTTAGCCTTGACTACCACAAAAATTGGTATGGAAGTGAGGTTCTGCTATTAAGAAGGAAGGAAAGAAGGAAGGAGAAAGGAAAGAGAAGAAAGGAAAAGACCCTAAAATATGTGGCATCAGCTTGGGGGCCAGGTATAAAATAGTGAGGAAATGGTTGTTAGAGGCTATAAGGTTGATGATCCATGTTACACAGTGGCAAAATATTTTGTATAATTCCCATGGAAATAAAGCAAATAATGTATCTAATGAATTTATAGCTTTAGGGGAACACTGGAAAACAAAACCTTAATAGCATGTGATGGTTGCTATTGACTGTGTTTTGCTGGGTATTATAAGAAGAGAGTTCAGAAAAGGATTGGCAGAAAGTTACAAATTCAGGGTCTTGTAGGGATGGAAGATGAAGTTGCTTCTTAATCCCAGATTATAAAAACAAAAATTGAGTTATGTTTTGAATGACAAAGTTTGATCAAGACTCAGGCTTGTAAGAATAATCAAATCAAAGATACGGCCGGTACACCAATAGTTAAAAACTCTGAATGAATTAGATAGTACACAGGATAGCTTTTCAGTTGGACAAAATGGCCCACAGAAATAATTTAACTACATGCTTCTCTCACTGGCCCCTATCAGGCCCAAAGTACTAGGAATTTAGTCATGAGAGAAAAAGAAAGATGTATATATGCTATATTCCCTTGTTCTTGAATATAAGGAAGCAAAGAAATACAGCAGATCTAAGAAGTTTGTATAGAATAGAACGGTGGTCATGGTTATTGGCAAATGGAAATGACTGGAATCAAAGATATATGAAGCTGACTAAATGTTTAAGAGAATTTTGGTGCCAAGAAAGCCACAAGCCTATGACTACTTAAAGCTTAAAACAAGCCTTGGGCTCTCAGCCTTCTTTAGGTGGGAAGCAGGCTGAGAAAGCTACTTGGCCTTCAGATATAGCCAAGGAGGATAATGGAAAAGGAGTAATTTCCCAGGGTAGATCTAAAGGGCACAGAAAATAATGAATTGGGGAGCACTCCCAGAGAATCAGGGTCCACCACATACTAGAGGGCCCTCACAGAAAATGCCCAGTGGGACTCTGGAATTGCTGTGGATCCCTGACTGCCAAATGTTGCGATCTCTTTCCTTTCTAAATAGGAGTGTTATAATGAGTATTTTGTGGTTTGGGTGTGTGTTATATGCTGTATTTTGGGGTGTGTAGGTTTTTAATTTGCATCCAGACCAATGTAAAGACTAGTACATATCACCCAGAGACCCTTGACTTTGAGCTTGGTACCATGACTGATGGACATTTGGGCCATCTCCCCTGGGAGAAGATAGCATATTTTGCCCAAAGGAAGGAGAGTGAATCACATTTTGGGTGATTAGAAGGGCAAACTATCGTAGTTATGTTCTCACCAACTATGTCTGGCTTTCTGCTTTCCAGTCACATGGAAAGGTTGTACTTCCTGGTTGGGTGAGGTCTTGTGACAAGTTCTGGCCACTGAATTGGGGGTAGGGGATTTAATTGCCAGTGCACGACCCACCAGGGCCTCTGCCGGAATGATCCAGATAGTGGCTGCTCCTTCAGCCCCAGTCCAGGATGAGGACAAAGAGGTGCCAGTCAACCCTGGATGCACATGTTCATGAGCACCTTGTTGGTTTCAGCCACTGAGACTTTGAGTTTGGTGATAATGTAGCCTATTCTGACAACACACTTGCATCATTTAAAAATGCTGATTGATGCATCCTGTGTAAGAAAGTGTAAAACGCTGTTAAGAACGAAGGCTTTAGAGTCCAATCTGCTAGGATTTGAATATCTAGCTCCACCACATACTAGCTGTGTGACCTCAGGCTATTTATCCTTTCTAAGCCTCATTTTTCCCATTTGTGAAATGGATAATCACTGTATTAGTTTCCTAGGGCTGCCATAAATTACCAGAAACTTGGTGGCTTGAAACAGGGATTTAATCTCTCATAGTTCTGGAGGTCAGGAGTTCAACATCAGTTAATTGGACAGAAATCAAGGTGCTGGCAGGGCTCTGCTCCCTCTGGAGGCTCTAGGGGAGTATCTGTTCTTTAACTCTTCCAGTATCTGGTGGCTGCCAGCATTCCTTTGCTTGTGGCCACATCACTCCAATCTCTGCCTTGTCTTCTCATTGTCTTCTCCTCTTCTGAATGTGTAATCCCCTGTGCCTTTCTCTTATAAGGACACTTGTGATTGAATTTAGGGCCCATCTGGATAATACAGGATAATGACGACGATAATAATGGTCCCTAACTTAATCACACCTGCAAAAATTCTATTATTTTCTAAGATGACTTTTACAGGTTCTAGGAATTAGGACCAATATCTTTGGGTTGCCATTATTCAGTCTATTACAGTAACTAGACCTACCTTGAAAGGAGTTTTGAGGATTAAATGATATAATACATATAAAGCAATCATTTAGTATTAGTTATTTAATCAACAAATAGTAGTTATTTATTGTTATATGAATGTATCTTATTTTCTCCAAAATGTCATCTTAAGACACTAAGTTACTATTTTAGACCCCACAGCCCATCCAGTGGGTGCCTTATAAAACTTAGAGAGCTAGTAAACAAATATCGTGAAAAAAAAGTAACCAAGGATCTTAAATTGGGTAGTTAGTGGATTAAAAACTATTCACTGCCCATTTTTTGGCAGTGAAACTCAGTAGGTGGTAAAGGCATGATTTCGGGGTACAAATTAAATTAGATACTGCACAACTTGGCCAAAGAGCCCTCTGATCTCTAAATAGACTTTAAAAAAAGAAAAAGAAAATTTTCTTTTTACTTCCTTGTTTTTGGGGGGTGTTTTTTAGATGTGAAAAGCTGGACCTTGTGCTAAAAACATGATTACCTATTCAAAAACACCATATTTGAAACTCTTGCCTTAAGAAATGGTCAAAGCGTTATTTGGATTTAGTGTGTTAAAAAAATCTTACAGAGTCAGAAATATTATTACTCAGTGGCAGCACAATACAGCAAGGCTGTGCAATAAACCACGGCGTGCCTAAGCCTCCTGCTATTTTTTACACCATCTTAATACTGATGCAAATTGACTAGGGTTTCAGTGCCTGGTAGACAGGGCTCTGGGAATATTGTCCCCCGCTCCGTCCCTCCTCTGCTGAGCCCTGCCATTAATCACCACTTGCCTGTCTCGAGATCTCCCACGGTTTGGTCACGGCTCCAAGGTCACAGGCTGTCATTAACATTGATCTGAAAAACAGAACCAAACAAAACAGCCTGAATAATCTTTTGTTGCATTCCTAAACAAACCCGTCCTAGATACATAAATAAATAAAACAGCACCGAGGGGCTCACATCTTCTTTTCCTCAACAAGGGAAGCACTGTTTATAGTCCCCATGCTTAGCATCTCCATCGCTGGCCACACTGCTTAGGAAGACAAAGCTCACACACATGCTCAGGTGGCCCTTTTGTCTGCAGCAGATCTAGGAAGCAAACCACCACATTCTCTATACCTAAGCTTAGCAAGCTCTGCTTCAAATAACGGACAATGCTTTTTATTTTTACCTATCAGCAAGAGAATCAGTATATAATACCACATACATAGCTGATGAAACTATTTACCAACTTATCACTGACTGATGGGAACGAAAGAAAACCCGTACCAAAGAGGTGAGCACACGCCGCTTGGGGAGCTCCTTCATTTTCATCTGCTCTCTGGAGCTAAGATTTACGGGTGGAGCCACACTGTTTCACTCCAGTTTACTACCTGGCTACAACCACGTTTTACAAGCATTATGAAGAAGAAATATAGTCTGCTACAGCTTTCATTAATTTGAGCACAGAAGAAAGCACAGGAAAGATTTGAATCAGATTTTTGAGGGGCAGATTTCTATTGGGTTTAACTAGAATTCACCCTGAACTGTGGATATAAAAACTTGAGCAACAATTAAAATTGTACATAGCTCTGGTGCTTATACTTTGGTGTGGTGGGAGGGTGAAAATACGGTACACTCTTCGTCTAAAATCTGCTTTCTTTATACTAAACCCAGCAGTACGTGATGAAAAGTGATGAAGGATCTGAGCTGGAAACCACGTCTTGGCTGGCTCCTTTTGGAAGAAGGGGTGTTTTGTTAAAGGTCAGAGGGCTGTCCTGATGTCAGGTGTTAACATTTCATACTCCGCCGGATTCAAATGCCTTGGAAACATGTCTGCTTCCCAGATGGCAGAGCACGCCTAGATGGTAGTAGGGTTTGTATAAATTCCCCAGGAAACCCCTCCGGGGAACAAGGCAGAGTGGCAGATAACAATAGGTCATTCAGAGCACAGGCAGCACAGCGTCAGCAGCCCGCTCCGAGTCAGGCGGCATCTAATCCCAAGTGCCCCCTGCTAAGCATGTCCAAGAGAGACACTCAGCCTGTTCTTCATTTCTGCTCTTCTGTCTGCCTCTGTACTAAGTGCTTTACCAACTAACTACTAACTAACTGAATCCTCTGAGCCCTCGGAGGTAGTGCTACTTTTCCTGTTTCACAGAGAGCTAAATGGAGACATGAGAGATAAAGTAACTTCCTCCAGGCGAGTAAGGATTCAGGATTCTGTGGTCAGAGCAAAGCTACCAGACTCACTCCTGCTACACTCTGAGGTTTCTCATTTTAGGTTTTGCTGGTACCAGAGGGGGACAGGATTGTAGGTAACGCACAGGACTTTGCAGTCTCTCTCATGGACAGTAAGTGATCTCTGTGATGTTGTCTACTTGGACCATATCTTGGATCATTACTTAGGTTCCTGCTCTGCTTCTAATTCTGCTTGATAATTCTAAGTTTACTTCTCAAATTCATATCGCCAGGAATTAGTCAATCCACAAGCTTATTGAGTATCTGCTAGGTGCTCAGATGATAATTCTAATAGGGACCATTTACTGAGCAGGCACTATAGGGAGATTTACATAGTCTCTGTGTGAAGTAGGGATACTGTTATTATCTCCATTTTACAGAGCAAATAGTGCCTTGCATTCCTTGATCAGAGAAGCTAGGTGGCTTGCCAGAGGTTGTTACACAGCTAGGAAGGATTGAAGCTAGGATTGGAGTGCATAAAGTCTCACAGAGAGACTCTACTTTCAAGAATACTCTACAGTGGAGCAGAAAGTCCACACAGAGAAGGAAGACAGAAAAAGGCTGGGACGGAGGATGATGGAGCACCTGAAACCTTTATCCAATTGGCACCGGGGAGTCGATAAAGGTTGGAGGCTCAGAAGGGACCTGGCTAGACCTTCAAGGAGAGAACCTTAGGTGGTGGGTGTGAAAATGGTTTGAAGAAGGAGAGAACGGAAACAGCGAAACCAGTGGGAAAGCATAATTGATAAGGGCCTAGAACAAAGAAGGGCAGGGAGAGTGGAAAGGCAAGGGCACGGGTGGGAGATTTCAAAGGAAGAACTGAAAGAGGAGAAGCAGCAGTTTTATCTTATTTTTTAGATCAAGCCTCTGCAGGTAGTGAAAGGTCTTTTCTAGAGTAAGAAAGCAGGGAGAGAGTTTGTGCCTACTGTTTTAGTCTTGAGGTCCGCATAATTGTAGCCCAATTTACAGTTAAATGGTGTCAATCTGTTAGAGCAACTGAGGGATGGAATGGTCAGGATTGAGGAGGGCCGCCTCTGTCGGCGCGCAGTGGGGCGGGTAAAGAACGAGGTGTGCCTGGAGTAGCTGATACCGCCCATCAGTTTACCATACGTTTCCTCTAAATGCCACAATCATTGCATAATAATCTTGCGGTAATCATTACTTTCTTGACTTGTTCTCTAGTTTTAAAACAATTAGCAACGTAAAAAGAATAAAATTTAATTTTAAAGATATATTCAAATTCAGTAAAAGATTTCACGTACGGACTGAATTTTGCACTTACCGAATAAAAATATTACACTCCGCCGTCTGTGCTCTGTTTCACTGTTTTAAATTTTAAACACAAATAAAAACCCCAAATGGTCACATAAAACAGCAGAATTGAAGTAACTCATGTTTGTTTTTCCATCCTTCCCATCACTGTGCTGTCATTGTTTATTCTGAATATACAGGTTTAAAAGCAGGAATGTGAAGCTCCGCAGGGTGGAGACACGAAGTGCACCCGGAGCGAGCGCAGACGGTTCTGACCCAATAGGGACTTACCTCGAAAGTGTGTATCGAGTCCACCCGTGTCAGGGGCGGACTGTATAACTGGGCGGGCGCTCTTGGAATTAACTTACATGTACGAGAGGCGTACAATTAAAGGGTAAGTAATAATATGCTAATTGAAGCTTTCACATCAATTATTTTGATATGCAACAGTAACCACAGGAATTGTTTAGAACTTATACCGATAAAAGATTTTTCTTGAGGAGGAGTATCTCACCATTGACATTGTTTGGATTGCAGGCACATGGGGATGACAAAAAGCAGACCGACTTTGAGTTGGTTTTATTACTATTTTAAAATTCTCTAAGACAGTGAAGACAGTGCTCTCCCAGAGCATCCCCCACCCCACGTGCTCGTGGTCAGAGTCTAACCATGAAATGGGGAGGGATGGGAGGGCAGAGCTGGGGGAGTGGACAGCCCTGGGAGCACCTCTCTTTTACATACTCTGCTTCCAAATAAGGGTTTTCTTACATATGGGGTTCCTTGCCCAACAAGTTTGAAAACTTCTGCAGGAAAAAGCCCAGGTGGAGAAGTGGAATGAGCATTGGCATTTTAGGAGTTGTGCTCAGAGGAGAGACCAGGCCCAAGAAACACGGGGGGAGTCATTTGAGAAGAGATGAGAGTTGAAATCATGGGGATGCTAAGGAACAAAAGAAGAAAACCAAAAATAGGTCCTTGGGAAATTATTACCATTAGGGGGTGGTGGGCAGGAGGAAGCACTGGAGAAGGACAAAGAGGAGAAGGAAGAGCCAGAGGAAAGTAGAAAACCCAGAAGAACACAGCTTTAGAGAATCTAAGGCAGGAGACAGTTTTAAGAAAGGAAAGGCCAATGCAAGTAGGGGCTGTGAAGGGATGGAGGAAGCTGAAGAGAACAAAAGCCATAGGATGTGATCCTTGGGAGGTGACAGGTGACTTTCAAAAGAAGCAGAAATCACATTTCACAGACTAAATTCCTCAGTGGAGAAAAGGCTAAATACTTTGTGGTAAATCCGTTCTTTGGAGTACCATGCAACAAGAAAAGATGATGAGGTATGGATGTGGAAAGAATTCCAAGGCATATAGTTGTGTGAACAAGCAAGTCTGATTGATATGTAAATATATAATTTACGTTTAAAACAAACAAACACATCCACACTAAACAGTATTTTCCCTAAGGATATAAATGCTTTGGAAAACGGTCTGGAAAGATACGAGAAATTGGTAACAGTATAGCTGTGAGACAGTACGAGAATCGAGAGTGAGGCTCAAAGGAGATTTGGGGGTTTATCTGTAATGTTTTCATTTGTTACAGAAAAACATACTCTTGTAATTACTTGTGGAATTAAAAATACTTAAAAAGAAAGAAATTGCCTTGCCGGAAGTTAGGAGTAGGAGTGAAGTGTGGAATTGAAGGGAGTAGAGAACTATGATAGGACCTTGAGAAAAAGGCAGATTTTAGAGATAACTTTTTTCACTGAGGAGATAGAAACATATCTCTAAGCCCAGCAAGGTCATGATGGAAAACACCAGATTTTGAAATGCAAGCCAAAGGTGTATAATTGATATGGCAAGGTCAGGGGTGGGGCGTGGGGAGTGGAATTAGGACATAAGTGAAGGTGCTAGTTTTGAAGAGAGGAAGGGTCCGCTCTCCCTCTGGAAAGGAGGAATAAAAAGGTCTGTAATGACAACACAGAGAAATATTACTGCAGAGAGGGGAGAAGTGGAGGGCCCTCTGGTGAGAGGGCCTCAGCAAAGTGTAAAGAGAGGTCAGCTGCAGAGGGAAGGGGCAGGCAGAGCTCTGTGTGCTGAAGACGGTGGCTGAGGGCTCACAGCACATACGGCGGGGGCCTGTGCTAGGGATCCCACTGGGATGATCCCAGGGTTGCTGGATGTGGAGCAGACACAGTGAGCTCATAATCCCGGCCTCACAGCCTTCCTAGGAAGACTCAACACATTGGAACAGGGATAAAACAGCAGAAGATCTGGGATTGGGTGAGGTGGGGACAGTGGAAGGAGAGAATATGAAAGAAAAAGGAATCGTGCTTAACTGGCTGGAGTGGATGCAATTGGGTGGTTAAAATGTGCCACATGAAAATGATGGTTTGCTGCTATCTTTTTTTTTTTCTTTTTTGAGAAAGATTAGCCCTGAGCTAACTACTGCCAATCCTCCTCTTTTTGCTGAGGAAGCCTGGCCCTGAGCTAACATCCATAACCATCTTCCTCTACTTTATACGTGGGACCCCTACCACAGCATGGCTTTTTGCCAAGCGGTGCCATGTCCGTACCCAGGATCCAAACCAGCAAACCCCAGGCTGCTGAGAAACAGAATGTGCGAACTTAACTGTTGTACCACCGGGCCAGCCCTGCTGTCTTTTCTAAACAACTGGGAAGAAGTCCTGTGAAAAGTCAAGAACAGACTCCTCATTTCCACCACCAAAATCATTTCGACTGGTTATCTACTTACCATACGTATTGTCTCTAAAGAAAAACAAAAGTTAACTCTGTACTTTCCTTTGTTCTGTGTAACTCTGTTTTCTGAGGTTCAAAAATCCCCTCTCCTGACAACCTACACCTCTGCTTCCTAGGGAAAAAGAGGAGTCATGGCTTGTCGAAAATGAACCCAGGTGAACATCATTTTCTAATTTTGAATGCAAATTTATGGAGAGAAGGAAAAAGTATAATTTAACATATAATATGACATATTCTCTATTTTTTCTCTAATTATTTAATGACTCTTTGAACGTTTTTAATTTAAGCCAAGATTTGTTACTTTAAATATAACTTGTGTGCTCTTAGCACTGTCAGAAAAGTGTGGCTAAATCTTTAAATAATGAAGAAACACTATAAACAAGAGCTTTTTCTTACCGAAATATATCACGATGGTTTTTGATGTTCCAATCATATTCTCCTTTACTGACAAGTTCAAAGAATTCAGTTCTCCTCCTGCACAAAATCAAATGAAGAAAGAAAAAAAAATCTGGAATGAAATTTCTCAGTCTGCTGGGTGACATAAACACGTTTATGGGAAAATATAAGACCACCTGAACCAAGTAACTTAATATTTGAAATCATGAGGCTAAAGCACTATCAAAATAAATCATTTTTTAAAAAATGTTGAAGCTTCGAGAAAAAGCCACAATCATTTCTGAATGCATTTATAACAGAGGTGATTATCGAGCCATAAAACAGAGAACAATGTGATCCTGCATTCAGGATTACTTGCTGTGAAGCCCTTGTGACACTTACTGAAAGTCAGAGAAGGGAGGCAAGGACAAATAAAAAGCAGGAACAATCCTGGAATGTTCTTTTATCATTCAACATAGAACTGAGCTGTATGATGATCCAAGATAAGATAAACTCCGTGGTAGTAAATTCAGGACAAATACTTTTTTCTAGTTTAGAAAATAACTATTTCAGCATTGCAGCGCTTAAATACACAGGCTATGGAGTCAGAAATAACTGTGTTTAAACAATAGCTCAGTCACCTACTTGCTGTGCAACTTGGGGAAGTTACCTAAACCCTTTGAGCCTCAATTTCCTAATCTCTAACATGGGATTACATTTGCTAACTCACAGAATTATTGTGAGGATTAAATGGGAGGACATGCAAAACATTTAGCACAGTATCTGAACATTTTACGTACTGGATACACACACACATATGGATACACATTTGGAGATGTATAGGCATGGAAAAGACAAGAAGGAAATATTCTAAAGCTGTGAAAATAAGGGTGATTTATTCCTATTTTCAAAACTTTTCTTTAATCTAGTTATATGACTTTTAATTTTTATAGTCAAAAAGGTAAATAAAAGAGGACGTCGCCATTTTGATTCTTTAAGAACCATTTCCCAAGATTTCACCTTCTTGGCGCTTCCTAATGAGAGACTATTGAAAGGATCTTGACATAGTTTCCCAAAATGCGTCCCACAAAATCCTGGTTTGAGGAGGTACTCCACATAAAGGGATTCCCTGGCCAAGTGGGTTTGAGAAATGCTGCCTGTAATACATCTCTTTTGGAGATTCACCACCCACACTAGCTTTTGAAGGCTCTGAGAAATACTGAGCTAGAAAAGCCTGTTTTACCTTACTTAAACACAGAATTCCACAGTACTGATGTTTTAAGGAATACAATTTGGAAAATACTACCACTTTATTTATGGTGGAAATCAGAGTAGGATCTTAGGCATGTAGTGCTGACCCATTGCAGTTGGGGGACAAAGGACATGATGCTGAGTGCAATTGGCTCCCCCGTATCTGGTCTGGGGTGCCCATCACCACCTGATGGACTTCTTGTCGCCTGGTTAGACTGACTACTCAACTTACATGAAACAGAGCAGGTCGGGAAGACAAATATGTGGCTCACTTCCTTATTTGAGACACAAAGCCAGGTCCTGGATCTATCTCTTCAAGTGGATACAGGTCAAGGTCACACTACAGTATGGGACAATCTCCACAATGACCTTGTAGCAATCGGGAGAAATGGCATTGCACGGTTACACAGAAGGGCCCAGCCAATGCCCCTCCTCTTTGGGTGTGCATGTCTTTTCTTTGTATAACTTTGCCATCTTCTTCATTTGCCCACTCCCTTCTTTGTGACCATGGTCATACTTTTTTCACATCACCACCACCGACTGTGAACTGAAATAGCAAGGGAGGTGGTGGAATGGAAAGAAGTCAGGTCTAGACTCACATTGACCTGGGCTTAATACTGACGGTCACTTAACAGCTATGTGGTCCCGGGCAAGCGATTCCACATTGCTGAGTCTCAGTTTCCGATTCTGTGGTGAGAATTTGAGATGAGATGTGTTGAGTGCTTGGCACTTATAGATACTCAATACCTAGTAGCTGTGGTTAATATGTAAATAATACTAATAGTGTTACAGCCAACAATAATACACAATGGATTATTTGCACTCCATGAGATTGAAGAAGTCATCTAGTTTTCTCTTCTCATTGATTGGAAGTTAATCTTCCTTTGAATTATTGTGGAGCAGAAAGATGGTTCAACAAATATTTATTGAACACCTACTCTGTGCCAACTCCTTACTAGGCTTTATGGACACAAGACATGGGTGCAATCTTTAAACATCTTTGAATTTAGCAGAAGCAGTCAACAAGTAAATAGGTGATTCCCCTTCAAATGTGATCCTAATGATAATACTAATGATCCTAGGGCTAGAGTGAGGGAGGGAGGCACTCATCTTGGGCACAAAATTTAAGTGGGTGCCAAAAACTCAGTAATCAAGATAAACACTATTTTAATGCAATATTTAAAAAATCAACATAAATAAAAAAATCATGAACAAAATGTCAAAATTTTAAATAAAGACAGGATCTGACACTGCGCTCGCATGACTCACCTCACTTGCTTCCCCCTAATCCCAGCCCTGAGGAGGCTAAATTTACGTGGTCCTTACTATGTCCCAAGCAGACTGCCTGGGTTCTGTCCCTTACTGCCCGTATGACCAACCTTGGGTCGGTTACCTTACCTTGCTGGGCTTCAGTTTTCTTATCAGTAATGAGTAATAGTAATGGGATATATCTTGTAGAGTTTGTGGGAGGATTAGATAAAATGATTTATATAAGACACTTAAAAGAATGCTTGACACACAGGAGGTGCTCAGGAAGGATCACCTATTAAGCTGTTATTAAGCTGAGAAGGGTTGAGTTAACTGGCTCAAGCTTTCACAGGTGGTGAGTGGCAGAGCCGGGATACAAGCGCAACCTGTTGGAACAACAGCTGCCCCAAGCAGCTAAGATATACCCAGGGTGTCCTGGGAGCACAGAGGAAGGCATTTAGCTTAGCTTGGAGGGTCATGGAAGATCATGGAAGGCTTTCTGAAAGAGCTTGTCAGTCAGCATTCCTGTCATGATATACACCTGGGTGTCATTTCAATTCTATAGATTATTCTAAGAAATCACTAGAATGCAGGCTCCGTGAGGACAAGGGCCTGGCTGATTTTTCTTCACTCCTGGATCCCCAGTGCCCACAACAGTGCCTGACATGTAGTAGGAGCTCAATAAGCATTTGTTGAGTTGATGAATGAATGAAAATGATTATCTCAGAACCCTACTCATTTTTAAAAATAACTCTCCAGCCACTGGTTTCACCTAGATTCTAATTGTTCTTGGGTCTTCACAGTTGCCGTTTGGAGAGACCGAGATAAGAAAACAACATAAACTCTATCCAAGAAAAGCCCTGTCAGATTCTTGAAGAGTAGATTCTAACTTGAACCAAGTGGACAACATAGCAAGTTGTGGGAAATTTAAAACACCATTCCTATCCAATGTCACAGCTGCCCTCCATAACTATTGTTATATCTGCTGCGAGAATGTTCAATATAGGAGACATAACCTCTCTGATGGAAAGTGGAGGCATATTACCTAGATGGCTAACTCAATGCAGAAAAGAAATTAAGAAGAAAAATGCAAATCTGTGACAGGACAATCGAACAGCACCAGATGAGTAAATTCCCCAACAATGGACATTTTAATAGCTAGAGTTGCTGGTGTGAAAGTTTCAAATCAATGGAACCCAAAATCGGTCATAGGCTTCACATCACATGTAATGAAGCTGGATTCCACTGCATCAGGACAACAGGGCATATCCACTATCCCCAGGAGAGGACGGATAGAGGAGGGGCGGGAGGAGTCTCTTCATAGGGCACAGGAAAGCCTGGCATATTAATTTTATTTTTCCTTCACTGACAAAAGTCTGGCTATTTCTTGATAGATTCTATTTATTCTGGCATCCCAAGGTTTGACCATGGCCTCAGAAGGTAACAGGAGACTTACTGAACACCCGTTTTGTCACGGTAAACATGAGAAAAGTCTAGTCACTGGTGGAACCATGTATATTATACATCTGGCAATATACTTGGTCACATAAATAACCAAATAGATGCTTTAAAGTTTAAACCAAAGTGCATTTAAAAATTTTTTAAAGTTTCTGAAAATTAATCGTCTTGAAGATCAGGAGATGGCGCTAATCATTTTCATAAAGCTGCAAAAAGGATTTTTGAAGTGACGATATGCAAGGATCACATAACGAATTTATTATGCATATTTAATATATTTAAAAATTACACAATGGACATAAAGAATCTATCTATCTATCTATCTATCTATCCACCACCCAGCCTAGAAATAAAGCTGTATGGGGCCCCTGTGCATCTCTGTACTGTCGTTTTTGCCTCCCTCCCTCCCACTACGAGATGGCCATTTTCTAAATTTCTATAAATCATCTTCACACATATCCTTATAATTTTACTAGATAAATAATGCAGAGTATTGCCCTGCAGATTTTAAAGCTTTATAAATGGTATCATATTTTAAAATTTTATAAATGGTATCATTATAGTATGTGTACTCTTTGGCAATTTGCTTTTCTTGCTCAGTGTGCCATTCATCCACGTTGTTACGTATAGTTATAGGCCATTCCTTTTCACTGCTGTGTGCTGTTCCATGGATTATTATACCACTGTTTATTTACCTATTTCCTGATGATGAAAATTTAGATGATTTCCATTTTGTTTTTGCTATTACAAACAATGCTGCTACGGACATCCTTGTACATATCTCCTTGTGAATTTGTGTGTGAGTATTTTCTCTGCCTGTTGATCTCGCTGTCTCTGTCTATCTTTCTCTCTGTATACACCACATATACTTAGGTATATGTAAAATCGCTGGGTCATAGAGTGATTTCTTTTCCAAGTTTAATTTGAGTTTTTGTTACAATTATAGACTGTTAGAGATATATGGTACCTTTGAGAAACATCTGCTGTAATTCCCCCATTTTATGGGTGAGGAACTCAGGGTGAAGGAAGGTGAAGCAATTTGCCCAGGGTCCCAGGGCAGTTACGGGCAGATCTGAGTAGATTCCAGGTCCCCAGCCTCCCAGTTCTGGCCTCTGAGATCATCTTTGTAAACTTGTGTCGCG